TTCGGTATCGAGATGATTTATAAAACATTTTTTTCCTTAAAATATAAAGATTCCAACTCCCTCTAGCATAGTTGATTAGACCCCTTAGAGATTTTTAGCAAGGGGTCTTACCGTGCAAAGAGCATGGCAGTCTCTAAATGAGGTATCGGATTAAACGTCCTCTTCCTGACTGGATGTGGCTGCGTACTTGTACATCCCGCAAAGCCATCACGCTCAACTTTGGTAAAGGTTGTACTGCCGGTAGGTAGAAGACCTTAATGACCATATCTCTATTCCCCAGTCACCTTTGGGGTTCTTGTTAAGACTTAAATGATAAGTTTGGTATAGTGGATTACTATCTGATTATCTTTAAGCAATTGTCAATAAACAGCTACCTATAGACAAACAAATATTACTTATTATAATACGCGTACGGCTTTCATCAAATTACTTTCAGAAGCCCAAAATTTGAGTGAATATAGTCTCTAAATTTCAACAATTGAACAAAGTTTTATGACCTCAGACAGGCAAAAAAGACACGTGTTCTGACTAAACAGTTTTGCTTTAGACCTATAAATCATACTAGTACCATTATTCAGGAAAGCTTAGGGTCTGTAGGTGACCTGTTGCAAGGCTAAATTTTTGTCCCTATCTAATATACCCTCATTTCCTGTGGCAGTCTAAATTTCTCCGACCTTAATCCCGAACGCCTTTATTACAGAACCTACCTATTGTACTTATTGTAAATTTGTTCTCGTCCTGAATATGCATGAAATATTTGCCACTGGACGTTAAGCAGCCAACTATCAATCAATCAAGGAAAGTTTTTTGTTTGTTTAAATGGTCACAAATAAAACTGACAAAACAGTGAAAGTCCTGTTATTCCTCATATACTTTATGTAATTTGTACCTCAAATACATTTTATCTTGAACATTAAAGATTGAGTCATAATAAAGGATTGTTGATTGGTGGTTTCTTAACGTCCAGTGGCAAAAATTTCATACATTTTCTCGAAAACAAATTAACAATAAATATAATAGGTAAGTCATGTAATAGAGGTCGTCCTAGATGAAGGTCGGGTAAATTTGGACTGCCACTGGAAAATGAGGGTATATTGGATAGGGGCAGAAATTGAGCATTTCAACAGGCCACATACGGACCACTCAAAGAGTTGCTGCATGGGTTCTTAATGTGCAATGAGCATATCACTCTCTTTAAACGAATCATCGGATTTAACGTCCCCATTCTGTCCAGACGTGGCTGCGTACTTGATACATCCCGCAGAGCCAAACGGATTCCCAACTTAGGCGAAGGTTTTACTGCTGGCCGCAGGAAGACCAATGGTGACCATATTTCTATTCCCCGGACACTCTTTGGGGGAGTCATAACGAATTATTGTGGATATTTGATTTCTAGGTTTAACCAAAATTTGCATATAAACCAATAGAAAACATCTTCATCTAAAAGTCTTGTTATATTGCATTGCATCTAAGAGTTACCAAATAACATCACAGTCGGGGACAACGACTGATTGATTTAATCAAAAAAAAAAACATAGAACACAATTTGGGAACAAATGTATTAGTCTTCGGCTGGTCTGAAGGACGGGGTATTTGGTATTATGACAACCCCAAACACAAAAACTTGTTACATAGGGTCAACAATTTTGCTTCGGATAGGCAACCCTCAAAACGTAGTAAATAAACTCATCATATATACCAGGATTGGAAATAGTATTTGCGCCAGACGCGCGTTTCGTCTACAAAAGACTCATCAGTGACGCTCGAATCAAAAAAGTTAAAAAGGCCAAATAAATTACGAAGTTGAAGAGCATAGGACCAAAAATTCAGCTGTAGAAAGCGTTTCACTACCCTACATCATATACAGCGTTCCCACTTCCGATCTAACGTGGATGCGTACTTATACATCCCACAGAACTACGTGAATACCCTTAACGACACCTTGGTTCTTAAACGGAGAGATTTCAACCAATTTGTCTATCGTGGTTAGTTGGGGGTTCCCTCAAAAGACATCGTATGAACTGACGTGGATTCGTATTTATACATCCCACATATATTTATTAGTAACTAGTACGTTTGTTATATGCGTTAACATGAACGGATAGAAAGATAAGCACTTCAGACACAAGTAATTTGTAAAGACCTGCACTGAGTTGATATCAGTGTTGCAGAGTGTACTGTGTACTTTTCCAGCTGAAGAGGAGATGATTCCTAAATTACAAAGATTGCAACTTCCTCAGGCAAAGTTGATTGTTGGTTGCTTAATGTCCAGTTGCTAAAATGTCGTGCATGTTTCGCGACAATTTAATAATAAATGCAATAGGTAGGTCCTGTGTGTATATTAAGATACGGTAGGGAATGTAAGGCAGGCCACCTTCGGACCCCTAAAAGAGTTTTGGCAAAGGTTTTTTACATGGACCAAGCATGGCAGTCACTCGACATGAGACATCAAATTTAAGGTCTCAGTTCTGAGTGAGCATGGCTACGTACTTTTACATCACACATAGCCAACATGACGCTCCACATTGCCAAAAGGTGTACTGACGGTAGGTAGAAGACTTTAGTGACCATATATCTCTTCCCCAGTCACCCTTAGTGGTTCTTGTTAAGATAGCAGACTTAAATTACAAGTTTAGTGTAGTGGATTATTTTTTATTTAACTCTTTTCAAATTAAGTATATGTGGTGTATCTGTCAATAAAACAGCGACCCAATGACAAACAATATTACTTAGAAATAATACGGGTACGGCTTTCATAATATAACACTTTCAGAAGCCCCAACTTCTACTGAATGAAGTCTCAGAATTTCACCAAAATAACAAAGACCATCAAATATCAGCAACCTATACAAATTCCCGCAATGAAAAAAAAAATACATTGAAAATTGACAATAAACAACGACTAACATGCTAAGGCTCGTGACCTCAGACAGACATAAAGACATGTGTTCAGATTAAACAATTTTGCTTTAGACGTATAATACATACTAGTATCATTATTCAGGAAAATTTATTGTTGGTGTTAATGGCCACAAAAAAAACCAGTTAAAGCCTGTTTGCCTTCCTGATGTACAACACAAATGTAAATAAATCCTCAACTAAATGTTATCTTAAAAATTTAAGATTGAGTCATTATGAATGATTTGTGGTTGCAATAATTTTCTTCATGTTCAGGGCGAGAACAAATTAACAATAAATACATTAGGGAGGTCCTGTGATATAAATTTGGACTGCCACGGGAAAATGAGGGTATATTGGATAGGGACAAACATTTAGCCTTGCAACAGCCCACCTTTGGACCGCTCAAAGAGTTGTTGCAAGGATTCTTAACGTGCAAAGAGCTTGGCACTTTTTTTAAACGAGGCATCGGATTTCACGTTTCCATTATGACCTTACGTGGCTGCGTACTTGATACATCCCGCACAGCTAAACTAACGCCCTACTTTGGCGAGGGGTTTTCTGCCGGTCTATTCCCCAGTCACCCTTTGGGGGGGAGTAATAATGAATACTGTGGATTATTTACTTTCGTGGGTACCAATTTTAGTGGACTTGGGATATATGATTTCATGGTTTAACAAAAATTTGCATATAAACCAAAAGAAAACATTTTCATCTAAATTTTGTTATATTGCATTTCATCTCTGAGTTACCAAATAACATTATAATCGGCGACAACGATAGAGTGGTTTAAATAAAAAGACCACAATTTAGGAACAAATTAAATAGTCTTGGACTTGTATGAGGGACGGGGTATTGGGAATTTTGACATCTTAAAACATCGAAGACATGTTACATGGGGTTAAACATTCTGCTTAAGGAATAGGGAACCCCATAAAAGTTGTAATGTAAAGCTGTAGAAAGCGAGTCATTACCCTAATTCATATTCAACGCCCTATTCTGATCTGACGTGGATGCGTATAAATACATCCCACAAAACTACGTGAAGTCCCTTTTTTACTCATTTCTCTATCCTGGGTAGTAGGGGGGTCCCTTGCAAAACTTTCTCAAAACCAGGAAATTTTGTAACAAAAAGACACCAAGTACTTTAGATGTGCATAACTATAATATTATTTTGTCCCCTAATCATAAAAAAAATCAGTTTAATCCATGATGAATATTTTTAATAAAACTAAACATGGGCCACCACAATCCGTCGAGACATATTTTATGACTGTTTAGCTAATAAGAGATCAATTGATTAATTGTGGTATGCTTTACGTTCAGTGGCAAATATTTCAATCATTTTCAAAAAGAGAACAAATCAAGAATACATTTAGACAACAAGTTCTGTAAAGTGAATCAACATGGCACTGGGGTACACACGTGCAGCGCAGCTGGTGTTTCCAAAAAAACCCACTTATATATTGTAGTTTTGTGAAAAACACGGCCAATGAATATATTTCAGGACAAATTTATAACCCGTTCATATATTTCTTAGTTATCAGTGGATTTTTTATATCTTAACTTTATTTAAAAAGCGGTCAAACATTTATACAGATATTCAATCGAAAGATAAAAAAATATTGATCCATTGACATTTTACCTAAGTGAAATGGCAACTCGCTGATATATTTGACACGTAATTGTAAACCTTCATTCAGAAAAAAAATCCCTACATATTTTTTTCTATTTTGCAAATGATTTTAAATCGGTAGGTCAAACAAATATCTGCATTGGTTTGTCCAGTACATTACTAGATGTATGCTCTACACATACAAGTTTTTCAATCTGTCATTTATAATTTTTCTATTTTCCATGGATTATATGCTGTTGTCGAATCATGCTAAGCTCGATTTGTACAAGTGGAAAAAAACTCAAATAAATCGTTAACATCTGAGAGAAAATTTGAGGTCGTGAAAAATTCAATATTACATAATTATATAGTTTGCAAAACATAAGAAATATTACAACATTCAATCACTTTTAGCGGTAAACTGAATTATAGATTAAGAAATCAATTGTTGTAATAACCAACTCGATACTTCATTATTTATTTTCAGAAAATGAACCAAATAAAGAAGAAGCTCAGGATCAAGCTTCCGTCAAAACCAACATTCCTGTTTGTGTCACTTTGCGTCAACAGTTAAATATAAAAAAGTCATCGAATAAAAATCCGACCATACTGAGCTGTATCAAAATCGGCAATACATTAGTGTTTACCGACTGTAGTAATAAGCGACTTATTTTTTGTAATTCAGACAGTACTGATATCCATCACATTCCTCTGTCCTATAGACCAGATTATATAACAGAGATAAATATTAATACTGTAGCAGTATCCTGTGTAGGTAAGAGTACCATACTGATAATAAATATATCTAAAGGTTCTGTCACCAGTACAATCAACACCAGTGGTTACTGCTCCGGAATATCATATAATGATAATAACCTGTACGTTGTTATTGATTGGAGTATAATACATGTGATGGACCTGGCAGGTAAAGTAATACGTACTATACCTTTACCTTCAGGCCTTATCTTCGACTTTACAGTAGACAGAGACAGGTTTGTCTGTTTAGACGACACATCAATATACTGCTGCTCGTTAGATGGAAAACTAATTTGGAAGTTTAAACAGGATAAATTTCAAGATTTACATCGTGTGACAAAAGATGATGAGGGGAATGTTTATGCGACTAATTATTACACCAACACTGTAGTGGTAATTTCTCATGATGGTATACATTATAGAGAACTTCTTACTAAATCAGATGGATTGAACAAGCCGTGTGGAATTTATTTTGACAAAAAAAATAAAATTCTGCTTGTTTGTAATGATGATGATGCTTTTTGACGTAAAACAGAATGAAAATAAACATAAATAATTCTGTCAAGACAATGAGTTCATTCGGACTCAGATCTGTTTGTGTATTTAGTCATTCACAATATCTTTTATTTATTTTTGTTTTCTTTACTATCAATCTAACTTAATTGAAAACAAATTACAGAAAAATTATAATTGTTTTTGAAAATGTAACTTGAATTTTCCTCGGCTTTTATATTTCATTAATGTTGTTCGAATATTATTTTTTACGCATTTTTAAAACATTTGAACATTCATTTGTTCCATGAATATTTCAATATGGAAAATAAAAAAAATAAGAAATTCGAATAAGAAAAACTGTTCTTGTTTGGAATTTATTTTAACAAACAAGAAAATATTGTGCATGTTTGTAATATAAATGAAGGAAATTTTGTAATATAAATGACGGGAAGGTTGGTTTTTTTTTACGTAAAAACGAAACGAACATAAATGAAAATTGATTATTTTATTCGAATTCAGATTTGTTTTTTCATTGAGTCATTCGAAATGGATTGTATTTGTTTGTGTGTTATCTACCAAATACAAATTCAACTTAATCAATTATTATTTATTTTATGGAATTACTACAATGCTTTCTTAAAAGTTCAATATAAGATATAGACTAGTAAATTATGACCCAAAATGATCTAAATATGATCACTGCTTGAATTTAATTTGCGACAACAAAACAACTCTTTCACTAAACATTTCATTTCTGCAAATTTGTTGGTTAGTTCAAGTAAACTATGACATCAAAAGAACTATTTTGTGTCAGAGTAGGGCTACTTTTACGTTTAAAATTAGAGGGAGTGAATTGGTGGTCTGACGCCTATATATATGAAATTTCAGAGAAAGTTTGCTTAGGCTAAAGACATGTTGTTCTTGGTTAACTTCTATTTGCCGGTTGTGTTGTGATGGTTAAAACTGATAATATATTTCAGAGCATCTTTTTGAAACCCATTTGCATATTATTAACTAGCCTCGTTCAGAACTTTTTTTCATGTGTTTTATGCTTTTTATGTATTAATAATTTTTGCATTTTAACCTGTGGGAATTTTACTTTTTACAATAAAGATTATTCTTTTAATTTTATTATTTATCTATGTCCTATATCTTAATCTGTCATCGAAATAAAACGATTCTATACGAATGTTTAGAAAAATAGAACAACTTTTGAATATTTATGTGTCACTTGTATTCTGCTGTTTATATCCTCCGAAATAACAGCAACTCCGCCCCACTTCCAGTTAATTTCTGTAGACATTAATGTACATCTTTTTTTTTCGTCTGTTCCTAAATTTGAATGTATTTTAACAACTGCACGATTATTTTTGGAACCAACCATCAATATTTCACGTCCGCACAAATAATTAAAAAAAAATACACCAATGATGCATTTCTCCAAGGACATATGACATATGTGAATGTGACATATGTGAATGAGACATATGTGAATGTGACTTATGTGAAATTGACATATGTGAATGTGACATATGTGAATGTGACATATGTGAATGAGACAGTAACCAAACGACTCAGAAACATAAAAAGTAAGATCACAAAATGCAGAACTCCGAGGAAAATTCTAAACGGAAATCCCTAATCAAATGGCAAAATTAAAAATTCAAACACATCAAACGAATGGATAACAACTGTCATATTCCTGACTTGGTAAAGGCATTTTCTTATGTAGAAAATGGTGGATTAAACCTGGTTTTAAAGCTAGTTAAACCTCTCACTTGTATGACAGTCGCATCATATTCCATTATATTGACATCGATGTGTCCACAATAGGTAAAAATGTCAAAAATAGGGGTACAGCAGTTAACATTGTGTTATCATCTTAATCACTATAAACACAAACAAATGTAACAAAGAAGCACAAAAAGTTGTCGTTCAAAGTATGACGGAATACATAAGTACAGAGTCACTTCAAATGGATATCACAAAAAACAGACTTAACAGTAAAAGTAATATTAATAAAATAAAATAATTTTGTCGTTCAAAGTATGATGGGATACATAAGTACAGAATCCAGTCAAATGGATATCATAAAAAACATACTTAACAGTAAAAGTAATATTGATAAAGACTGATGTTGGATAAAGGGGTTATCCACGCATCGGAACAATATTTTTATATCATGGGTTATCAACATCATCTTTAACGTTTCTTCGTTCCCCATTTTTGACAGTCTCTTTATAAGTATTTCATCGTAATTCACCTTTGTTTGCCTTGGATTTACGATTCTGTTTTCCAAAAAAATGTTCAAAGGAAAATTGTACAGTGTTATTGCACATAAGGTGTTGTATAATTATGAACAATCTCGTCAATTTCGTTAGATTTGTCTTAATTTACGGATTACTAAATGATATCTTGAACGTCCGAAAAAATATAATTATGTGAACAGGAATGAAATATTTGCCACTTGATATTTAGCCACCAACAAAATCAACAAACCGACGTAATATACTAACAGTATACTTTTCCTAGAAGAGAACTTCTCATACTTTTCATTATAAAGTACAAATGAAATCTGTCATGTCAGTCACAGTGTTGGATGATATGGTGGAATAGTTTTATTATACAAACCATCCTGAACTACTGAGTTTAAATCATCACACCTCAGCAAGCACGACTAATTTATGCGCAGACCAACCCGTCACACAATAGCCCAAAAGGATTCTGTGACGTACCCATCCATATTCAGAAGTGGGAAATACAGATACTGATACTGACTTTAGTGACAGTATTATATAACGAATACAGAGATGAAATGCTGGCACGCGTACTCTAAATTAAAGCGGACATTATTTTGAAGTCATTGTTTTCCAATATTTCTGTCATATGTATTATATAAGCCATCCTAACATCAAAATGTTATTGCATTTTAATGCGGCTATATATATTTACATAATAAAGTGCAAATATGGTCAGTTTTGTTTGATGCTGTTGAATAATTTTGTTATTAGAGTCAGCCTGAGGTATTAAAATTACTGAAATTTTGTTGCGAGACAATATTTTGAAAAAAAGAGGACATGCTAGCTATCAAGATTGATGGGGACAATTTTTTGTTTTCATTGTATTGCAATGTTGCTGTCATTTGTATTATACAATCCATCCTGACATCAAAATATTGCAGATTTACTATGCGGCTATATAGATTTACATAATAAAGTGCAAATATGGCCAGTTTTGGTTGATGCTTTAAAATAATTTTGTTATACGAGTCAGCCTGAGGTATCAAAACTACTATAATTTTCTTGCAAGACAATATTTTGAATAATAAGAGGACATGCTGGCAATCTAGATTGATAGGGACAAATTTTTGTTGTCATTGTATTGCAATGTTGCTGTCATTTGTATTATACAATCCATCCTGACATCAAGCATGTCAAGATATTGCTGATTTACTATGTGGCTATATAGATAAACATAATAAAGTGCAAATATGGTCAGTTTTGGTTGATGCGTTTAAATAATTTTGTTATACTAGTCAGCCTTAGGTATCAAAATTACTGAAATTTTGTTGCGAGACAATATTTTGAATCAAAAGAGGACATGCTGGCAATCTAGATTGATGGGGATAATCTTTGTTGTCATTGTGTTGCAATGTTGCTGTCATTTGTATTATACAATCCATTCTGACAATAAAATATAGCTGATTTACTATGTAGCTATATAGATATACATATTATTAAAAGTGCAAATATGGTCAGTTTTGGTTGATGCTTTAAAATAATTTTGTTATGCAAGTCAGCCTGAGGTATCAAAACTACTGAAATTTTCTTGCGAGACAATATTTTGAATAAAAAGAGGACATGCTGGCTATCTAGATTGATGGGGACAAATTTTTGTTGTCATGGTATTGCAATGTTGCTGTCATTTGTATTATACAATCCATCCTGACATCAAAATACTGCTGATTTACTATGCGGCTATATAGATTTACATAATAAAGTGCAAATATGGTCAGTTTTGGTTGATGCTTTAAAATAATTTTGTTATACGAGTCAACCTGAGGTATCAAAACTACTAAAATTTTCTTGCAAGACAATTTTTTGAATAAAAAGAGGACATGCTGGCTATCTAGATTGATGGGGACAAATTTTTGCTGTCATTGTATTGCACTGTTGCTGTCATAAATTTGTATTATATAATCCATCCTGACATCAAGATATTGCTGATTTATTATGTGGCTATATAGATATACATAATAAAGTGCAAAAATGGTCAGTTTTTGTTCAGGAGTTAAAATAATTTTGTTATACTAGTCAGCCTGAGGTATAAAAATTACTGAAATTTTCTCGCGAGACAATATTTTGAATAAAAAGAGGACATGCTGGCTATCTAGATTGATCGAGACAAATTTTTGTTGTCATTGTATTGCACTGTTGCTGTCATTTGTATTATACAATCCATCCTGACATCAAGATATTGCCGATTTACTATATGGCTATATAGATATACACAATAAAGTGCAAATATGGTCAGTTTTGGTTGATGCGTAAAAATAATTTTGTTATATTAGTCAGCCTGAGGTATCAAAACTACTGAAATTTTCTTGCGAGACAATATTTTGAATAAAAAGAGGACATGCTGGCAAACTAGATTGATGGGGACAAATTTTTGTTGTCATTGTGTTGCAATGTTGCTGTCATTTGTATAATGCAATCCATTCTGACATCAAAATATTGTTGATTTACTATGTGGCTATATAGATTATACAATCCATCCTGACATCAAAATATTGCTGATTTACTATGCGGCTTTATAGATTTACATAATAAAGTTCAAATATGGTCAGATTTGGTTGATGCGTTAAAATATTTTTGTTATATGAGTCAGCATGAGTAATCAAAATTACTGAAATTTTGTTGCGAGACAATATTTTTAATAAAAAGAGGACAAAAATATTTCCAAAAATTTTAACCCTATATAAATTAACAGATTGACACATTCCCCATTTCCATCCTCAATTTTATAATTAAGTGCAAATATGGTCAGTTTTTGTTGATGTGTTAAAATAATTTTGTTGTACATGTACCAGTCAGCCTGAAGTATCAAAACTACAGATAATATATATATGTTCCTGAGACAGTAAAAAAACATGTTATATTGGAACCAGTCTGAGATGTGAAAACTACTGATTTTTTGTGATGATTCAATTATTTGAATAAAAAAAATACATGCATACTTGTACTGTTGATTGGTGCAGAAAAAGAAATATTATTAATATTACGCTGGTCATAAGCATGATTAACTGTACATCAATATTGCTTTCAATTGTCATGATTATTTTATATGATCTAAGTACTATTCGTTTTTGGCATTGTTTGTCGATTTTATCTGAAAACCAAGTTTATAAGATTTACGCTACATTTTGAAACCGATAATACTAGCATTGTAACCAATTTCTTTTTTAATTTATAGATAGACAGATCGCGGATAAATTTGCATTTCAAGCAAAGTTTTATGCGCACTTTATTTACAAATACATGCATATATATTTAATATGTATTGTTTATATAACCATCATAGGCATGACCACGGAGGTTTTAATTTTATACATTAATTTACAATATTGTGATCAAAATTCGTTTTTTAAAACAAATAAATAATTTTGTAGTCGCACGCTTTCTTTGAAATTTAATTGCATTATGGGTAATTTCGGATCGTGAAGATAGAATGGTGTATGGTGTTATGTGTAAGGTGTATGGTGCAAAGGTGTAACGTGTATGGTGTAATAGCACAAGGTGTATGGTGTAATGGTGTATGGTGTAAGTGGGAAGTTTACACCATCCAAGGACAGTATGAGTCCTTCAAGTTTAAAAGTTTCTTATTAACCATTATATTTAGGTCGAATGGAGGCAACTTCACAAATGGTCTGAGGTATTTAGTCGACTTGGCGTCTGAATTTAAGCTGCACTGGTAAGTAGATCGACCCATATGTTACCATCTTGGTCTCCATACACGACAATGAATAACTGTGTATTTGAGCGGTTTCAACGTTTTTACGTGTACGTTAATTGTTCTATGGCTGACACAATGTGTTTGTTATCCAGCAAGTGATTCGGTGTATCAACCTATTCCAAATGATAGAAAAACAGTATTTTTCTTTGAAAAGGGAATGTTTCCAATTCTGCATTCGATTCTTTAATATCTGACTTGTGTGTCTCGTGATGCATCACCAGCATCGAAAGAATAGTAAAAGATTAGATTGTATATCTTTTTCATGTTGTTTATTTCTGAAGATTTGTTGGGATAAGTGCAATTGCTAATACAAGTTTTAATCTCTGTCAGTTTTGTTAGTTGATGAGTGCTCTTCATTAAATTATTTTTCCTTTCAATTTGTAAATATTTCCAAAACATTCTCAAGAACCGACATCCCGAAGCGCTACCCGGGAATGAAGCTTAATAAAATATGCAAAATCAAATGCCGTTTGTTTTCATTTCCTGCAGGTATTTCATGATTCTCTATTGCTATTTCTGTATTCCAGTGAATTTTCAATTACTAATTTCGTTATCAATCAGTTATTGTAGTGTTATTTAAATAAAAAAAGAAAAGGTTGTTGTTCAATGCTACATCTGTGGGTACAAAATATGAAACGTTTGAGAGCATAGAAAACAAAAATAATTAAAACCTTCAACGGTACAATGTGAGCTCGCTTAAATTTCAAGCCGATATACATGTACCATTGTGCACGGTGAACAACTGACATATCAAAATTGGAAACTGGTAAATAAACAAAATAATCCGAATGGTGTCAATAAATATAAATTTGTCACGTTAAACGATCAATTAATTGAAAATAAAAATAAAAGTTTTCACTACCTAGTATCAGTGTCTGCTTGGTTTTAGACTCCGAATAATGGCTTTTGGCATCTTTATAAACAGAACGCAAATTAAATTCATAATATGTTTCAGGTAGCAGTTTTTGAAGTGTGTACAAGCGTCGTCCATTTTTCCCTACCACTACATCTTTAGAAGAGAAAGTCCTGACAGGCAGGTTATCTGTTCCTAGAGGAGGTCGATGATCAAGCTCATACGATAAGCACTCGTCTTGGACATCAATAAACCATTCAATGGTTATTG